CTCTTGGTAGGCACCGAAAGGTGCACTGTGATGCTACGAAGAGGGTACTGCGTTACTTGTGCAGTACATCGGGCATGGGGCTCGTGCTTGGGGGGCGGGGTCCAGTTGTCCTTACTGGACACTCAGACGCTTTGAGGGTTGACGACCTGACCACGCAACGGTCGTCTGAGGGTTACTCGTTCAGCCTTGACTCCGGCTCTGTTTCTTGGCGGTCTACACGCTCGTCTTCTGTTCTCAGCTCCAGTTGTGAGGCTAAGATCTACGCCACAGCCATGGCTGCACAGGAGTTACGCTGGCTCACCTACCTGCTGACCGACTTGGGAGAGCCGCCTCGTTCTCCTTCAGTGCTATACGTCGACAACAAGGCCATGATTGCCTTGTGTGAGGAGCACAGACTGGAGCATAGAACGAAGCACATCGCTCTGCGTTACTTCCTTGCTCGAGAGTTGCAGCAGCGTGGCCAGCTTCGTCTTGCTTACATGGCCACTCGGGCCAACACTGCTGATATATTCACCAAGGCACTTCAGCCTTGTGATCATCACCGCTTTTATACTGTGTTGGGCCTTGTGCATGTTTTGCCTCACTTGTGCACTGCTTGACTTTGTGTGTACTGTGACCTATATATATACCTGCATGCTTACTCTTGCTAGGTAGTGATCACTGTACTGTTTGCTATCTTTTATATAACTATGCATGTGGACCGGCCGTGTGGCCATTTGCTTGTGCTCAGAGTGTGTGGTGACTTTGTGATCCACCCTAAGCTTGCTTTGCTTTTCTTGACTGGTCTTATGACCTCTTGTTCTCCCCCGCTTCGCCTATGGGGGTGTGTCAAACTATAATGCTACTTGTGTTGTGTAGGCTGTAGTGGGGTAGCCTACATGGGGTACAACCCAATTAGGGTTATACTTGTACTCAGTTTGATGTCAATGCAATCATTCCTGCTCGTTAGTTTCTGACAGAGCTGACTAGCGTAGGACGCTTGGACAGAGCCCTGGCAGTAAATTTCAGGAATGAGCTTGGTTGCCTTGGTGAAATTCAAGCATAGTTTCACTAGGAAAAGTTGATAGAACAAGAATATGGTACAAGCAAGAAGAACCAAATAGCAAAGAGAATGAACCACGCATTGACGTTCCTTGACAAGCACTTGTCAAGCACTTGTCCTTCTCAAGTCAGCAACGGCATATGAAACAAGAAGCATATGCATATTTTACCTAACTTGGTCGTTGCTCAGGTTTCACAACAAGACAGTTGTATACATTTTTACTGTTAGTAAACACGTGTTTCAGGTTCAGTTTCTTTACTGATTCAATTTCTCTTGAGGAGTAAAGGTTCCAAGCTTTTGTTTGGTCGAAATTTCCTGTTTCACGATTGGTCGAAATTCACGCACATTGCAAATTTTGGAGATATGTAATAATAGCCGACCAGAAACGCTCTACTCAAAGAACCACTCGTCGAACACAATTCGGTCAACCAACAATCCGTCGAAACGCCGATTTTGCCAATTCCGTCGACCAGCAAGGCTCGTCTTTGACGCCGATTTATTCCTGTCGACGAGCGCCTCCTAGAAAGGCACTTTTTTCGAGCAGAAGAAAACACTTCTACCTCGACTAATTAATTTCGTCAACAGACGGCTCGTCGCACACAGATGAAAGTCCCCAAAGCCGCCGATGACCACGAAACAAATTCGTCTACATACCGTTATGCTCCGGGAAGCATGGTCTACTTCGACCAAGCAAGGGCGGGGCCTTTTCTCCTCGACACTCCCTTGCCCAACTCACGCTTGGGCACACATATGCGCAAGGTCCACCTGTAGAGCCTACGTAGTAGAGTACAAGGGGGATACTTCGACCACGTAAATACCCAGCGTGCTCGCCCATCGCACTAGCCATATTGAAGAACATGGCACCTCTTCTGCACGTCGTCGTCGCCGACTTCAGCAAGACGAACCTGGCCGACTGCGACGGAGCACTTGTTGAAAGTCAGAAAATGCAGAGCCTTTGTGAGGAAATATGCCAGCTGCTCAGTGGTCGGGATGTATTGCAGAGAAATTTGTCTGCGCTTCACCATCTGCTGCAGCCAGGCGTAACGTCGCTCCATATGCTTGAGGTTGAACTTGAGCCCCAAGCCCTCTACGACCGTGATGCCCGAAGCGCTGCCCACGTGCAGCACGGTCGACTTCTCTGCGTCGAGCATTTGGACCTCGACGAGGAGGAAGCGAAGTCGGCGCATCTACTTGCTGGCTTCGTTGGCCGCTATGTACTCAGACTCGGTCGACGAAAACGTTTTATATTCGATGCGCTGACTCGTCCAAGAGAGGGCGTCCCCGCCGAAGACGAACACGTAGCCGTTCGTGCTGCTGCAGTTCTGCTTGACACCAGCGTCGTCGGCATCTGCATAGCCGACCAGACACCGCAACTTTGGACCGCGGCTGAACTCCAGGGCGGCATCTCGGGTGTGGGCGAGGTAGTGCAGGCAGCGGTCTGTGAAGATTAGAACGAGAATGGATGACTAAGGAATGAAAGAGATACAAATATGAAACCCTAGAATTGTGTACCCCTTAGTGTCTAACCCGCTACAGCCTACACAGGCCAAATCATATAAGTTTGACACACCCCCATAGGTAAAGTGGGGGAGAACAAGGGGTCACAAGACCAGTCAAGAAAGGCAAAGCAAGCTCAAGGTGGATCACAACGTCACCACACATTCTGAGCACAAGTCAAGGCCACAAGGCCAGTTCACAAGCATGATTACATATATGTAACGCTAAACAAGCAAGAGCAGGTACACACATATATATGTAACAGTACAAGCAAGGTCAAGAGGTGGGCAAGTGAGGCAAGGTAGGCACAAGACCTAACAGAGTACAGAAGCGCTGATGATCACAAGGCGCGAGTGCCTTGGTGAAGATATCAGCAGTGTTGGCCTCAGAGGCCACGTAAGCAAGACGCAGCTGACCGCGCTGCTGCAGCTCACGAGCAAGAAAGTAGCGAAGAGCGATATGCTTCGTTCTGTGCTCCAGTTTGTGCTCCCGACACAAGGCCAGCATGGCCTTGTTGTCTACGTACAGATCTGGAGGTGAACGAGGCGGCTCTCCCAGGTCAGTCAGCAGGTAGGTGAGCCAGCGTAGCTCCTATGCAGCCATGGCCCCCGCGTAGATGTCAGCCTCACAACTGGAGCCGAGAACAGAAGACGAGCGAGTAGACCGCCACGAAACAGAGCCGGAACCAAGGCTGAAGGTGTAACCCTGTGACGACCGCTGCGTAGCCTGGTCGTCAGCCCAAGAAGTGTCTGCGTGACCAGTGAGGACCACTGGACTCCGCCCTCCAAGCACTAGCCCCATGCCCGATGTACTGCACAAGTAGCGCAACAACCTCTTCGCTGCAGCCATGTGCTCTGGTCGGTGTCTCCCAGGAGCAACATAGCGTGCAAGAATGCTAAGAGGGTATGCAAGGTCAGGTCGTGTGCAGGTCATCAGGTACATGAGGCAGCCCACAAGCTCTGGGTACGGGCCACTCGACTCTACGGACTCATCCGAAGGCAGAGCTGAGAGCGAGTGGCGAGTAGACAGAGGAGTGGCCTGAGGCGAGGAGTACGTGAAGCCGAAGCGCTGAAGGACCTGCTGCACCATGTGTGACTGAGTCAGGGTAATGGTGCTCTGTGCTCTGTCCCAGGTGATCTGCAAGCCAAGGTAGCTGCGCAGTTCACCTAGGTCTGTGCACGTGTGTCTCTTCTGCAGCTCGGACTTCACGTAGGCGAGTCCAGCAATGTCAGCTGTGGCAAAGACCAAGTCATCGACGTACACGAGGATGTAAAATGGCGGCAAAGAGGTGTCGGTGCGTAGAAACAGCGACGGGTCGGCAGTAGAAGGAGCAAATCCAAGAGCCGCAAGTGTAGTCCTCAGTGTGTCGTGCCACTCACGAGGTGCCTGGCGGAGACCGTAGACTGGCCGCCGGAGGCTCCACTGGGTGCCAGGAGGAAAAGTCCCAGTGAAGCCAGATGGGTGACGCAGCCAGATCTCCTCGTGCAGGCTGCCCTCAAGAAAGCAGAGCTGAAGTCAAGAGAGTGAAGCTCGTAGTCACGGTGAGCGGCTATGTGCAGCAGAACCCGAAGAGTGGTCATCTTCGGGGTGGGAGAGAAGGTCTGAAAGTAGTCAACTCCCTGCCGCCGATTGAGGCCACGAGCCACGTAACGCGCCTTGAAGACAGGCGGAGAACCCGGCGGCCGCTTCACCCTGAAAATCCACATGCCACTGACGATGTTCGCCCCAGACGGGGGAACCTCGTGAACGTAGGTGCGTGTGGACTTCCAGGAAGCCATCTCTGCGTCCATGGCTGACTGCCACTGAGAGGAGTAAGGACCCTCTATCGCCTCCGCGTAAGAGCGCGGAGTCGGGATGTCTGGTGCATCCGGGTCTCCCTCAGGGGCAAGTAGCATGGACACGAGGTGAGGTGAAGCAGCCGCAAGACACTGGAGGTCCTCTTGTCTGTCCTCAAGGACGTCCGTGCCAAGAGCACACTCACCCCCGACGGACGGAGGACATACAGACGCAGACTCAGTAACCAGACTAGTAGCGTAGTCTAGACGACAGCGAGCAGCGAAGTCGACAAGCTCAGCAACTAGGGCAGACGCCGTAGTGGACTCAAAGGAAGGGTCAGTGACGACAGTAGCAAGGAGACGCGTGACAGTAGGATTGACAGCACGAAGGGAGTCCGACTCGGGGTCAGCAAGAGCAGGAAGAGAGGACTCAGGCGGAGAAGGCAAAGGGGCACGCAGAGGAGCTATGGACGGACGCAGAGACATCCGGTGCGTGCCGGGGACGAGGGGAGGACGCTGACGCGAACCACGACCAACAGTGCGAGCAGCACGGACAGGCGACGTAGGACGAGACGCAGGTTCACGACGCTCAACAAGACCTCTAGTAGGACCAGTGTAGGGAAATGGAGCAGGTAGAGGAGAGGGAGGCTGTAGCTGTGACTCAGACCGGACAGGCGGTGGACACCCTAAGGGAGGAGCCGGACTAGTGGAGGGCAGAAGACCAAGAACCTGCTCAAGGAGCGGAACAAAGTACGGCCGCGAGCGTGCAGCACCCCAAGAACCAGCAGGAACAGCGCTAGCACCACGAACGGCAGCACCAGCACCACAAGGGACAGCTCCAGCGCCAGCAGCACCCCCAGCTCCAGCAGCGCCAACTCCAGCACCGTCAGGGGCACCAGCACCAGAAGCACCCTGAGCGCCAACACCCCCAACAGCGCCAGCTCCAGCCGGACCACCAGAAGACGCAGTAGGTCCACCAGCTCTAGCAGTAGACGCACCCGCAGGCCCAGCAGCTCCAGTACTCCCAGTACGAGCACCTCCGGGACCCGCGGCACCAGCACCCTCAGCAGCAGTAGAACCTCCAGCGCCCGCAGTGCCGTCAGCTCCAGCAGCACTCCTCCAGCGCCGGGCAAGGATAGGACCCCCAAAGGGGTCTGCCAGGGAGACTGCCTCTGGCCGGCTAAGCGGCGTGAGCGTGGTGCGGTCTTGAAAGAAGGAGCGGGAAGCACCCGAGTCAAGGGTGAAGGTGTGGGTGGCCGGAGCCGACGCGGTACCTGAGAGCGCAGACTGACCAGTACCTGAGGCAGCAGACTCACTAGCACCTAGAGCAGCAGCCTCACCAACACCTAGAGCAGTAGCCTCAATGCCCGGGTCAGGCGGAAAACACCGGCAACAGTCACCCTCATCACTACTAGTCACAGCATACATGGCAGCAAGAATTGCATCATAATCAAGATCAAAGATCGCAACACCCGCCCTAAACAGCTCGCCCCAGCGAGGGATCTCAGTAGCGTCGGGGAACTGATGACGCCACGCGTCCGTCAGGCGGCCGAAGCAGCGCTGGGTGGAGTGCGGACCCCTACACTGCTCACCCGCGCTTTCGCCGATGCGGAGAACGTAGGTACAGGGGCCAGCAACCCCACCCCGCTGACGAGCAGCGTACCACTCACGAAGCTGCTGGGGGGGAGGGGTCTCACTAGTGTGCTGCTGCTGCTGCTGCTGCTGCTGCTGGCGCTGACCACCACCGGAACCGATTCTCTGTGCCGAGCCGCCCCGACCAGCTCCACCTCCGCCGCCGCCACCCACACCACCGCCTCCACCTCCGCCACCTCCACCCGCGCCACCACCACCGCCGCCTCCTCCACCTCTACTGCCGCCACTAGCGCCCCCACCCCCGCCACCACTCCCACCGCCACCCCCACTCCCTCCGCCGCCTCCACCGCCGCCTCCACCGCCCCCGCCAGTTCCTCCAGCGCCCTTGCCCCCCTTGCCCTTGCCTGGGTGGCGTCTCCCGCTAGGGGCAGATGCCGTGCCGACTGACTCAAGACCAACAAGGTCGGCGGCAGCAGCAGAGGCAACAGAGGGCAAGAGGGGGGATGGGGAGCACCCCTCAAAGACGGGGGTGCGAGGGTCACCACGAGAGGCTCCTACAGCGACTATACCCTTCTCTGCTGCTAGGAGGCGCTCCTCGAGGAGGTCAACGGTGAGTGTGGTGGGGCAAACAGAGAGGAAGTGGTCCCTGACCGAGCGAAGGGTGTCAGGGAGCTAGGTGACTATGTAGTTAAGGGTGATGTACATAGGGGGGGGGTTCTTGGCGCAGAACTCAGCAGGAAGCGCAGCACGGTAGCGAACGTCACTAATGCGAAGGTGCGTAACGAGGTCAGCGACTATGGGAAAAGCGGCGAGGTCAGGGAAGAGGTATGGCAGGATGAGGCGGCTAAGAGCAGCAGTGGCAGGGGAAGAGTAGCGTGCAATTACAGCGTCGTACAAGGTCTTAGCACTCTTGTACTGGCTAAAATGGGCGCGCTCAGCGGTCGGTAAGTGGCGGCGCACAGCAAGGCGAGCATAAGCATCGCGCGTGGCCCACTGTGAGCGAACAGTGGCGTCAGCATCAGCAGCAGGGGCAAGAGATGCACCAGAGGTGAGGTCAAACAAGGAGAGACCGTCTGCCCTATCGCACTGTAGGAAAAGCTGCAGATCATCTACCCAGACCTCAAAGTCAACTGCCCGACCCTCAGCGTCAAAGGTGAAACACTACGGGTGGCCATGACAGCAGTAGACAGGCAGTGAGTACAGTGGGGCAGGGCAGTGAAGTGGCAGAGGCGCAGCTCTTACCAGGCAAGTGAGACGGTCCCGGGCAGGCCGGCAGGCGGCAGCGATGGGGCCGCGGAATGGGCGGCGATGGGGCCGCGGAAGGGTGGCGACTGTGAAGAAATGAGGAATGAATGAACTAGCAAGTAGGTGGGTACAAGTAGGAAAACCTAGAAATGTTGTACCCCACTACAGCCTACACAGACTATAGCATATAAGTTTGACACACCACCATAGGCAAAGTGGGGGAGAAAAAGAGGTCACAAGACCAGTCAAGCAAAGCAAAGCAAGCTCAGGGTGGATCAGAACGTCACCACACAATCCAAGCACAAGAGCAAGGCCAAAAGGCCAGTTCACATGCAAGATCATATATAAAGGTAAACAAGCAAGTGCAGGTATAGAAAGATCACAGTACAAGCAAGGTCAAGAAGTGAGCAAGTGAGGCCAAGTAGGCACAAGACCTAGCATAGTACAGAAGCGCTGATAATCACCAAGCGGAAGTGCCTTAGTAAAGATATCAGCAGTGTTGGCCTTAGAGGCCACGTAAGCAAGGTGCAGCTGACCATGCTGCTGCAGCTCACGAGCAAGGAAGTAGCGGAGAGCAATGTGCTTCGTTATGTGCTCCAGGTATGCAAGGTCAGGTCGTGTGCAGGTCATCAGGTACATGAGGCAGCCAACAAGCTCTAGGTACGGGCCACTCGGCTCTATGGACTCATCCGAAGGCAGAGCTGAGAGCGAGTGGCGAGTAGACAGAGGAGTGGCCTGAGGCGAGGAGTACGTGAAGTCGAAGCGCTGAAGTACCTGCTGCACCATGTGTGACTGAGTCAGGGTAATGGTGCGCTGTGCTCTTTCCCGGGTGATCTGCAAGCCAAGGTAGCTGCGCAGTTCACCCAGGTCTGTGCACGTGTGTCTCTTCTACAGCTCGGACTTCACGTGGGCGAGTCCAGCAGTGTGAGCAGTGGCAAAGACCAAGTCGTCGACGTACACGAGGATGTAGAACGGCGGCAAAGAGGTGTCGGTGCGTAGAAATAGCGACGGGTCGGTAGTAGAAGGAGCAAACCCAAGAGCCGAAAGCGTAGTCCTCAGTGTGTCGTGCCACCCACGGAGCGCCTGGCGGAGACCGTAGACTGGCCGCCGGAGGCTCCACTCGGTACCAGGGGGAAACGACCCTGTGAAGCCAGGTGGGCGGCGCAGCCAGATCTCCTCGTGCAGGCTGCCCTGTAGGAAAGCAGTGCTGAAGTCAAGAGAGTGAAGCTCGTAGTCGCGCTGAGCGGCTATGTGCAGCAGCACCCGAAGAGTGGTCATCTTCGGGGTGGGAGAGAAGGTCTGAAAGTAGTCAACTCCCTGCCGCTGACTGAAACCTCGAGCAACGTAACGCGCCTTGAAGACAGGCGGAGAACCCGGCGGCCGCTTCACCCTGAAAATCCACATGCCACTGACGATGTTCGCCCCAGGTGGGGGAAACTCGTCGACGTAGGTGCCTGTGGACTTCCAGGAAGCCATCTCTGCGTCCATGGCTGACTGCCACTGTGAGGAGTAGGGACCCTCGATCGCCTCAGCGTACGATCGAGGAGTCGGGATGTCTGGTGCATCCGGGTCTCCCTCAGGGGCAATCAGCGTGGACACGAGATGAGGCAAAGCAGCAGCAAAACACTGGAACTCCTCCTGCCTGTCCTCAACGATGTCTGTGCTAAGAGCACACTCACCCCCGACGGACGGAGGACAGACAGACTCAGACTTAGCAACAAAACTAGCAGCGTAGTCTAGACGACAGCAAGCAGCGAAGTTGACAAGCTCAGCAACTAGGAGTGGACTCAAATGAAGGGTCAGTGACAACAGTAGCCAGGAGACGCGTGACAGAAGGACAGGCAGCACGAAGAGAGTCAGACTCCGGGTCAGCAAGACTAGGAAGAGAGGACTCTAGAGGAGACGGCAACGGGACACGCAAAGGAGCAGTGGAAGGACGCAGTGCCATCTGGTGTGTGCCTGGGACTGCAGGAGGACACGGACGCGCAGTACGACTACTAGTGCGAGCAGCACAAATAGGCGACGCAGGACGAGACGCAGGCTCACGACGCTCAGCAAGACCTCCAGTAGGACCAGTGTAGGGAGAAGGAGCACGAAGGGGGGAGGCGGGCTGTAACTGTGACTGCGACAGGACAGGCGGTGGACACGCTAAGGGAGGGGCAGGACTAGTAGAAGGCGGAAGACCAAGAACCTGCTCAAGGAGCGGAACGAAGTACGGCCTCGGCCGCACAGCACCTCTAGAATCAACAGGGACAGCACCAGTACCCGCAGCGGCAGTACCAGTGTCAGTAGCACCGCGAGCGCCAACAGAGCCAACTCCAGCACCCTCAGACGCACCAGTGCTAGCAGAACCACCAGCGCCAGCAGAACCACCAGCGCCGACACCTTCAGCAGCTCCAGCTCCAGTAACTCCAGCAGCTCCAGCAGCACCAACTCCAGTAGGACCGGCAGCTCCAGTACCGCCAGCAGCTCCAGCAGTACCTCCAGCAGCACCCCCAGCCCCAGCAGCTCCAGTACCGCCAGTACGAGCACCTCCGGGACCAGCAGCAACAGTAGTACCTCCAGCTCTAGCAGTACGGCTCCAGTGCCGGGCAAACCACTCACGCAGCTCCTGCGGAGAGAGCAGCTCCAGCCTCGATGAAGCACCGCGAGAGGTCACACGAGCAGACCTAGCACCCCCAAGCTCCGCACCCCCAGGCTCAGAACCCCCAGGCTCAGCACCCCCAGACTCAGCACCCCCAGGCTCAGCACCCCCAGACTTAGCACCCATAGGCTCCGCACCCCTGGACTCAGCACCCCCAGGCTCCGCACCACCAGACCCGGCACCCGCAGGCACAGCACCTCGAGCAGCACCAGAGTCAACAGCTACCTCGACAGGCTTGACTGCGTCTACCTGAGACACACTTGACGGGGCAGGACCCTAAGGGGGGAGGGGGTCTACCGGGGGAGGACCTGGCGCAAGGAAGAGCGGCGGCGGGGGGAGGGGCGCAGTGCGGTAGGGGAAGAGACGGTAGTAAGGCATCGACTTGTCAAAGGTGACGTCCTGGGAGGACAGAACGCGCCGCGAGGTGGGGTGGTAAAACTGCTAGGCAGGCGCGTCAGGGGGGAAGCCAAGGAAGACGCAGGGAACAGCACGAGGGGACAGCTTGTCCGCAGACAAGTCGCGGACAAACGCCCGAGATCCCCAGACCCGAAACGCAGACGCATCGCCAACCTTCCCCGTCCACCGCAAGGTGGGGGAGGTCTCAGGCAAGGAGACCCAGGGCTGAAGGTTGAGCTGATGCGCTGCGTACTGAACCGCAAACGGCCACAGAAAATGGGGGGAAGCCGCATGGATCATGGACGTACGAGCGACGTCCATGACCATGCCAATGCGGCGCTCAGCAATCCCATTTTGCTGTGGAGAGGCCGGAAGCGTGAAGGTCTGACAGATGCCCTGTGCACGACAGAAGGCTCCCAGACAGGCAGAGGAAAACTCCCCGCCTCTGTCAGAGTGCAGACGCAGAATAGGAAAGTCCGAGTCGAAACTCTCTCTGAGCAGGAGACGAGCTGCGCGGATCCAGTCGATCAACACCTCAGTGACGTCACCCTTGCTGCGCAAGGGGAAGACTGTGGTGTAACGCGAGTAGTCGTCAACCACCAACAGGAAGTAACGCTCGTGCCCCTGTCCACTGACGTGGGCGGGGCCCCACACGTCCATGTGAAGAGTCTGCAGTGGAGCCTCTGTCGGAGGAAACTAGAAGGAGTGAGGAGCGGCGGGCTGCCGCCCCTCGATGCAGGGGACGCAGGTAGGGGCCGGCCGCGGAGGTAGGGGAGGGAGAGACCAGGGAAGACCTGAGACAAGGACACGGGAGGCCATGCCTCGGAGACGAGGCAGGGAGTGGTGACCAAGGCGGTGGTGCCAAAGGAGAGTCTGGTGGGACAGGAGACGACACGAGCAGGGAGCAGACTCAGGACCAGACCTGGACGCTGCAGCAAACACCTGACTCGACACAGCTACCTGACCAGACTCGGCAGTCGGAGGAGACTCAGTAGTAAGTGTGTACAGGCTCGACCCCGGCCGACGGGTGAACGTGGCCAAGTGTCAGCCTGTCCGAGCACACGTGCAGTGGGTCACCCGCTGACTCGCAGGAGTGAACTGGTCAACCCCCCTATCCTATAGATCAGCTCCACTCACCAGGTTCGTAGAGAACGAGGGGAGGTAGAGACCTGACAGGGTGCCAGAGGGGGCTGCCGGGCACGGTAAGACAGTGGAGAAGCTAGCAAGGACACGACCCCCAGAGGGGTCCGCGAGGGAGACCGCAACCGGACGACTAAGCGGCGTAAGCGTGGTGCGGTCTCGAAAGAAGGAGCCGGAAGCACCCGAGTCAAGGGTGAAGGTGTGTAAGGCCTGAGCCGACGTGGTACCTGAGAGAGCAGACTCACCAGCACCTGAGGCAGCAGACGCACTAGCACCAAGAGCAGCAGCCTCACCAGCACCTAGAGCAGCAGACTGGATACCGGGGTCAAGCGGCACACACAGGTGACAGACTCCCTCGGCACTAGTAGACAATGCATACATTGCGGTGAGAATAGCATCATAGTCAAGAGCAAAGATATCTACCCTCTGCCTAAGCAGCTCCACCCAGTCGGGGAGCTCAGCGTCGTCGCCAAACTCTGTACGCCAAGAGTCACTCAGACGCGTGAAGCAGCGGGACTCTGTGTGACCACGCGTCCCGCAAGTCAGACCAGTCCGGACACCCGTGCTAATAACGTACGGGCAGCGAGCAGTACTCAGCGACCCTCCACTCTGAGCGTACCACTCACGAAGTTGCTGGGGTGAAAGAGTCTCGCGCGGACAACGCTGCTGCTGCACTGGGCCACTACAAGAAACTCCCGAACTACCCACTCCAGGACGACTCCCACTACTGCCACCCCGACAACCCCAACTGGTGTACCACTCACGAAGCTGTTGGGGGTTGAGGGACTCACGCGGGCGACGCTGGAGCTGCATCCTGCCACTACAAGCAGCTGCGGAACTACTCACTCCAGGACGACTCCCACTACGGCCACCCCAACAACCCCAACTAGCGTACCACTCACGAAGCTGTTGGGGGGTGAGGGACTCATGCGGGCGACGCTGGAGCTGCATCTGGCCACGCCAGGAGCAGGAGTAGCAGTAGAAAGAGCAGCTGTAGTAAGAGCAGCAGTAACAGCAGTACGCGCAGG